CTTGATCATAAAATACTCTGTGCTGGAATCTCAAACTTTAATATGCGTTTATAAGAGTGAGAGGTGGTTTGTGCCATTTTCTCCCTACAACTGAGCATGGTTTGAAGCTATGCACTTCTCTCCATGTCAGAGTGAGCACGACTGGGCATGTGCAGGGGTGTTCCCACTCATGGGGACAAGTTGCCCTAAGGTGGGCTAGGGGGGGGCTAGGGTCATCACCTGGGTTGGCCCCCAGTAGCCTTACCTGGGGTCCGGGCGGGCCTCAGGGTTCCAGCAGTGGCGATCCAGGTGCATGCAGCCTGGCCAGCAGCCAGAGCATAACTCTGGCTAGCTAAACTCTGGTTTTGGGTGGTGCATGCCCTGCTTTTCTTTAGTGCGGGTTTTTTTGACACCAGGATCTGCGTCAGAAAACCCTGCTGTGCTGCAAATTAACAGCACAGCAAATGTCTGCATGTGTGGCACTGCAAACTGCACGTGCAGGCTTGTCTGAATGCGCATACTGAGTGCACTATGTCCTGCAACTGAGGTTTATAATGTCAAACAAGAAAACTGTGGACATACATCTGGTCCAGACCCCACTCTTTTGTATACAACTACCTTCATTTATCAAAGGGGAATCTTTCTTGCACAGATATGCAAGTCTTGGATGTTACAGATAAAAAACGCAAAGAAGAAAACTAAGATTGAGACTACTTCCCCATACAATTTAAACCTCAGAATGCTGTTGCCAGCTCTATTCTTACATGGTATTTTTTATTCAGTTTATAAGCTGTATATAGAAAAATCATAAAAAAGGTTAGCTGAAATGGGATAATGACAAAAAGTTAAGTTGTGTCTTTCAGTAGAAACAAAAGACAACATCCTTGGCCATGAGAACTTTTTACTAGGGGTGCACCAGTAAAGATTTTTTTGGGCTGATACAGATGGCTGATTACTGACCAACCGTATCAGGCGATACCAATCTGATTGCTGATGTGCAGCCTGGCAGCTTGGAGAGCAGCATCTCCGTGGTAAGTCTGTGGGGGGGCCCACAGGGCGGTGCAGAGGAGGGAGTAGGGCAGGGGCAGGCACTGCCCAGTTGGGGCAGAGGGGGAGGGGGGATATGGGATGGAGCTGCAGGGGAGGGGAGGGGGATGGACAGCTCCCACTGCTGTGCACACCCCTGGCCCTATGCACACAGCTCAACCTTGCCCCACGCACAAATCTGGGGGACAAATACTCTCCATGCTTCCCCCAGATGGAGCAGCTGATGCCCCTGCATCCCTTGGACAAGCTGCCCACAGCTCTGTCCCGGCTGGGCAGCACCTGCCACCCTACTCTGTCACCGTGGGGGGCCTCGATCTGTCCCCCCTCCCCCCCATGACCTTCCCCCACCTCCCACAGACTTACTGACCGGACACTGCTCTCCAAGCTGCCAGGCTACACTTGGCCATGTGAATGCTGTTGCTGTGTGCCTGCATGCAGCATTTATCAGTGACATTATTGGTCACATCGGCCAAAACGGGGGGGTTTGCCCATTATGGCAATCTTCCTTTTATCATTACCAATACAATATGGACCGATGCATTGGTGCACCTTTACTTCTTACTCATTCGAGCCATGCCTTTAGTCAAGTCACTTTACATGCTGTACAGCGCCTCAAAAGTAGATTAGAAAATCATGTTACTTCCACAGAGCAATTAATAGAATTGAAAGTAGGGATGTTCTGAAGTTAAGAGTTGTAAATTATGCTTTAAAAGCACTTTACTACCTTTTCTAGCAGAATGTCAGAAGATGGATGACAGTTTACAACATTACTTTTATAACACCAATGCTTATATTATTTCTAAACTCACTGAATTTTACTCATTGCTTTAAAAGGAAAATGATTTCTTGTACTAATTCTGTATCTCTAGTACATTACAGGGTTTGAAAAACAACTGCTGCTGTGGCTGGGGAGATGTCCATCTGATGCTACTTTTTTGTTTGCTGAAATACAGGAGCTAATTACATCTTTACTGCAACTACTTATGTGAACAAATGCTCTAAGATGGGACAGTAGCAATTTTGTAAATGCTAGACAGACTTAGTTTATAGTAATAGGTGTAAAGGGTAGACACTGAAATCCTGGTTTGTTTGAAATAGGGAATTTTTGCCACTGACTTCAATAGGGCCAGGATTTCAGGCAGTGTGGCTGCTGACAGACATGGAGGAAAAAAACCCCAAACAATGCTTTACCCAAAGAGGAAGTGGATTGGTTTGGCTCAGTTCCCTAGCATCTTTAAGATTGGGCACTTCAGCAGGGATTTTTGGCACTTTTTAAATCTAAAACTGATTCAATCAGCTGTTTAGATAAGTACCAAAAAGCACTGCTGAAGTGTGCAATCAATACAGACATTGGGCAAGCTGGGTCAAACTAGCATGATGCCTTTTCTGGGCATGCACTGTGCTTGGTGCAGGAACGAGCTGAGCTGAAAGTAAAGTGCAAGGGGGGTTTCTTTTTATTCTTTCTCTTCTCATGTTTGTAAGCAGCCTGTATGTCTGTAGATAATTTAGCAACTAGGACTAGATCAATAAAGGGACTTGGGCACAAAAGGCTATCTCTGAACATGCCTCAGAACCTCAGTCTTGAGGAGGCTAAGAAATGGGACAATTGAGGTCACACCTATGCATATAATCTATAAGTCTGCCTGCAAAGTACCATCTCGTTAGCATGCAGCACAGCATCCCTCTTACCCAATCATATTTAGTTTCCCATAATTCCCTCCCCCTGCCTGAGTGGATTTGAATGTACATGTGCTAGTCACTAGGCTATAGGCTATGTTATAATGGGGCTCTTGGTAGCTGTTCCACTCAGAAGAGAGTTAATTATAGCCAGTGGTTGTATCACTAACTGGGAGAGGAGAGACCCTGGTTCTAGCTCCTACCCAATGAATGTTCAAGTATTTTAATTAGTCATCAGTGTAGGACAAGATCCATCTTCCCTGCTCCCAGGCCATGTCAATTGATTACAGCCCAGTGGGTGCATCTACACCTGCAATTAATGCCCAGAAAGTTGACTGTGCAGTAAAATATTGTGTAGTAAGCTTTCCCCAAGAGGGCCTCTACAGGTGTTCTCATCAGATGCAGATTTGTTCCCAAAGGGAGCAGTTCCATGCAGGGCTACTCCAGCCTTGCTGTGCTCCCCTACAGTAGCCAGGGGAAGCTCCAGGCTCCCCCAGGTGCCAGCCCTGGGCTGACAGGTGGCACCAGTCAGGCCCTGGCCTCCGGGAGGTGAGGGAAGCTGTCTTACCTCTAGGGAAGCTCTCTCCTAGCCCTGTGCCCAATCTGCAGGCAGGGACATGAGGCTGGGAAAATGTGCTCTCCTGCAGCAGCTCTTTCCCAGCCCCATGTCCTGATCAGCCAGTGGGACAGCTAGCAGTGAGCCCCCTGCTGGGCAGGGAATCCCCACTTAGCCAGGGGCTTGCTGCTAGCTGCCCCACTGGTGGGACAACTCCCATCCAGCCTCTGGCAGAGCAGGGAAGGAAGAGCTCCCCTGTCCCGGCACCGCTCAGCTCCCTGGTCCTGTGGGCTCCCAGCCCTAGAGCACTGGGAGGAGGAGGTAGCGGGGCAGAGAGGGACCCAGTCCCTGCGCTGATCAGCTCCCAGCTCCTGGGGGGAGCTGGGAGCTGAACAATGCTAGGAACGAGTTCCTTGCTGGTGTGGCTGACCAGGAGCAAATTTGCTTCTGGTTATCTACTGCCCTACTGTGCAGTATCTACTGTGCAGTTAGTTTAGTACCTGTTCTTACAGGTACTAGCTAACTGCATAGTAGACTAATTTACTACACAGTAGTTTGAGCACAGTTACTTGCACAGTGGATTAGTCTGCTGCACAGTAAAGTGTCTTGTGTAGACACCCACTAAATCTCAGTCACTGCATATAAAGAGGAACACCATATTTACTCAATTCTAAGATTCATATATGTAGGGTCAGAAGGGACCTTGCAGATCTTCTAGTCTGACCCCCTGCTCTGGGCAGGAGAGAGAACTGGGCTGAAATGACCCCAGCTAGGTAATTGTCAAGCCTCCTCTTAAAGACCTCCAAGGTAGGAGCCAGCACTACTTCCTTTGGAAGTTGGTTCCAGATCCTAGCTGCCCTGACTGTGAAGTGCCTTCTAATGTCTAGTCTGAACCTACTCTCTAACAACTTATGGCCGTCATTCCTTGTTACTCCGGGAGGCACTCGGGGGAACAAGGTCTCTCCCATTCCCCACTGGTCCCCCCTAGTAAGTTTATAGATGGCCACCAGGTCTCCTCTCAGCCTTCTCTTGTGAAGGCTGAACAGGTTAAGGTCCTGTAGCCTCTCCTCATAGGGTCTGCCATGATGAGGCTCCCCCCTCATTTAAAATGGGGGGAAGTCCCTTGTCTTAGAGTATGAGAGCAGTGGGAGGGACAAGCAGCTATTGTGGCTTGGGCTTCATCCCCTACCTGAGGATGCTGCTTGCCCCCCACCCTGCCCTCTGCCACCCTGGCACCCTGCCATTTTCTTCCTATACCTTCTTCTCCCCCTACTTTCCCTCCCTCCACGCAGTCTCTGCTTCCCTACCTGCCCCTCCCCGCTTTCCCTGCCCTATTGCTCGGTGCTGGCAGGTTCTGTGCATGCTGCAGCTTGTGGCACTGAGCATTAGGGCTTTGTGAAACAGCACTGTTCCGCTCCTTCTTCAGTTTCGAGGTCTGGACAGAACAGTGTTTTGTATCGAATATAATTTTGAGTCAAAACAGCCTCATTGTTTTGCTTTGTCGAAACAGCGAGGCTGTTTTGACTGTTTCGCCGGACTGTGGAACTGGAAAAAGGAACTCAACCCAGCTGGCCTGAGTTCCCAACCCCAGCTGGGGACTAGATCATGCCGGGGAAGGGGGGGTGGTGAGGCAGCCCAGCTGAACTGACTTCCCATCCCTAGCGCTATGGTCAAAACATTTTGACTTTTGAAATGTTTTGACAAGCCTTGTTTTGTTTTGAGGCTATTTCGACGGCCTTTGTTTTGATTTTTCTGTTTCAACCTCAAAATGAGTCGAAACAGTGTCAAAATGAAACGGCTGTCGAAATTTCGCACAGCCCTACTGAGCATAGCCCCAGCTTGGCTCCATAGCAGCAGCATACAGCCTGCATGGCTGCTAGTGGGGCTGGCCTGGGGCTGTGCTCAGTGCCCCAGGCTAGAATGGTAGCCATGACAGGGCAGAGCGGAGGCTGGGTAGGATTGGCAGGCAGGCGGCAGGGGGCAGGCACAAGTACAGCGCAAGTTGCTTGACCTTCCCACACCACCTGCCTCCCCATCTGCAGCATTGGGAGGGATGAATTAAAGATAACCCTCTGATATTTAGAATCTATGCATGAAGAACTCTTAAGGATGAGAGGAGAGACCGAAGGAGCTAGGCCTGTTCAGCTTGTGGAAAAGTTGCTTAAGAGGAGTCATGATAGCAGTCTTCAAGTACATGAAGGGCTGCCATAAAGAAGAGGAAAAGTACTCTCTCTCTCTTGCTGCAGAGAAGAGGATGTGGATGAATGGCTTGAAGCCTGCAGCAAAATAAGCTTAGATTGGGTATCCAGAAAACGTATTCACTATTAGAATAATGAGGCAGTGGAACAGACTGCCTAAGGAAGCTGTGGACTCTCCATCACGAGGTGTTCAAGAAGAGGTTGGACAGCCACTGGTTGGGGATGATTTAGGCATGGCTATGCCTATGTTCTACTATGGGTGGTTATTTCCCATGATATGGGTGAGTATTTCCCAAGCTTCTGGGCTTTGCTAGTTCCCCCCACTGCCCCTTTCAGTTACATGGGTCAGGGTGATTTTAAGCCCATTTCAGAGGCATTGGGTGTTGGTTACAACCAAGGCTGGGAACTTCGACTGGGGTTTGCCTGTGCTCCTGTTGGGACCAAAGCTAGAGATTCCTGGCTAGAGGGTCTTGCCCCTCTGCTCAAAAGCAGACTGATCACCATATCTGGGGTCAGGAAGGAATTTTACATCATGGTCAGATTGGTATGGACTGTGGGGTTTTTGCCTTCCTCTGTAGCAGGGGGTGTGGCCCTCTACCTGGGATCTCTTGAGCATATATTGACAACATTTCATAGAAGCAGGACATTGGCTACTGTGGTTCTGCTTTTATCTATGGCAGGCTAGGGTATTAGGTCTGTGTTGTGTCAGGGTTGATGACAATGTTATATACAATTTAGATTATGGTTTGTACGGGATGGTTGGGATAGGGATGACCCTGCTTCAGGATCTAGGTACCTTTGGAGGTCCCTTCCAGCCCTACTTCTCTATGATTCTATGATAAATTTTCCTTGCATAGCATCTAATTATTGGGTGTCATCTTAGATTTGAGTAAATACAGTAGCATTGAACATGACTGAGAATCCCAGCTCAGGATAGTCTAGCCTGGTGCTTTTGGCTGCCTTCCAAGACATGAGATGTGGGGTTTTTTTGGGGGGGGGGTTTCAGGCAGGCAGTATAATCCAGGTCTGCCATATTCTGGCTGAATGAACTAACCCAGTAGTGCTCAATCTCTGGCCTACAGGGCTCCCCATGGATCTGGAAATTTGGCAGTAGGGGAACAGTGGCTGTAGAAGCTGTGGCCATCACTCCTCCAACAAGTTCCCAGATCCAGGAGGAGCCCTATGAGTTGGATGATATGGCCCCATGCCGCATCACCCCTGTGGACCAGCCACACTAGATTTGGCCCGTGGACTGACAGTGTGCCACTCATTCAGCCTTGGTTCTGGAAGCCTGAGCACCACTAATCTATCTGGTTAACTACTAGACTAACTCCTGTGCATGAGGCACTTCCTGGATGGGGCATCTCACTCCAGGAGAAGGTTCAGTTGTGAATTCCAGTTGGAGATGAATGCCATGCTCTAAACTGCAGGGGTGCGTTTAAGGGAAACGTAGGACTTCAGGTTCATTCTTTTCTCAGCATTTCCTAGCAGCTCCCCACTTATCATTTAGGGGACCTAAATCCTGCAACACTCAAACTTAAGTCCCTGTTGTAGATCCAGTCCTTAAAAGTGCATGCCTCTAAGTTTTTTGTTTGAACTTCTAGTTTTGTTCAGGTTCTTCTTCACTGCTAGTAGATTCTTCTCCAAATAAGTCTCTTTCAGTAGAACTTACAGGTGCTTTAGAACTGGATGTCTTCAAAGTGATAAGAGCAGGGCTGTCACTCACCCCCAGAAGAATAGTTTTTCTGTCCAATGCTACTGTTAAGCAGGAGATTTTGCTGTCAGGTGTAAAGACTGACATTACTGTGCAACTGTGCAAGTCCCATAGGCTTACCTCACCTAAAAATTAAATAAATAACATCATTACTCTGAAAGCAGCATTTGTTTTTTGGAAAAAGACGGAAAGTACTGTTCCTTTCATGACCAGCAGCTTTTATTATTGTGACTGGACTCTTGAAAGACTGAAGTTTTCACTAGAACCATTCTATTAAAACAATTCCACTAGCTCTGACCAGAAACCAGGTTGGCTTTATAAGGGGTTGCATTTTCATTAAATGCAGTGATCAAAACATCCTATTTTCAGATTAAAATATAAAAAGTCTTTGAGCTTTTTTGTCAAAGTACACTACTGGACTAGAACCTCCCCAAAACTTCTGGTTTGACAAAATTATTTCCATATCCCATCTCTCCCTTCATAGGAATGGTAATTTAATTTTTAAATAGTGTTATAAAGGTTTGTTGGTTGGTTTTGGGTTTTTTTTGGGGGGGGGAGGGGGCTTAGGGGCTTTTCTGAGGTATACATTGCTGCAAATGGATAAAATATTTATTCTGTTTTATTCCTAATGCATCAGTAGTAGCTGAAGCATTACTTCCCAAATAAGACAGACCCTACAAAGAATAAATTTAAATTACTTGCATTTCTTCTCTTCAACATTATATCCCCTGAAATAAGGGATTAACATTTATTGGATAAATTGAAACTGCAAGAGAATTAAAAGGCCTTTTAATGGTATATTTAGTTATTTATGCAATTTATATATTGTCCTTCCCAAAGAAAGGCCCAAGGCTATTTACAGCAAGAGGACAGGACAACTTCAAAGAGCAACTAGAAGTCAAAATAAAACAGACCCACTAAATGATATTTGGGCCGAGTTTTTCAAATAAAATCTGGATTCTAAGTAATTACCCCTTTAATTTTATTGGAAGAACATCATTTAGATAAGGTAAGTTAACCTCCTTGTGTGTTTAAGCCTGACCCTGCAGCACAGACTGGCACTACTTGAGCTATCAGACTAGCTGGCAACAGAATGCAGCTGTTTTTCCGAGGAGGAGAGCCCAGCCCAACTTTCTCTAGTCTCATATTGCATCACAGAAGGATGAATGCTTGATAAGAGCCCATCTCATTTCTTGCCCCTTGTAGCATAAGATTTTTAAATGGGCAATTGAAACCGTATGCTACATTCAGGGTCTGGCTCTCTTCTCTTTAATGATCAATCAGATAGAGATGAACAGAGAACACTTTTCTTTCTTTCTTGAAAGTAAAAGTGTAGAATAAATTAGACCAGCACTAAGCAAAGAATACCCAGATCTCGAACTCCTTGTTTAATATGTGGATATTCTGGTGCTGTGAGTTTCCTTGCCCTTCTTGTCATATTCCCTTTTCTGATTTTTGACATGCCTTTTCTTTCTGCCTGAATGTAGATGATAAAAACAGGGTCTTGGAGCATGCTTTCTTTTTTGTGGTGAGGCAGCTAACGTGAGACACTAGCATAATTTTCTGTTTTTCTCTATTGAATTGTATGTCCTCCATTGTATAAAAGTGAACCCTTATAGAGCGGCCTGTAGGTGAAGCAAATTTAGCTTACGTTGACATATACATGAGAAAAAGCGTTGCCCATTACTGCTTAAAAAAATTCATTTTACCATATAAAAATTACCAATGAAACTGCCAGGAGTAAGCTATGGCATTGCATGGAATTCATGTCAAGTTCATTTTAAAATTAGTATTTCATTTGTACCAAAGCTGCAGCTCAAGGACAATAATTGCATCTTTAAATTGCTGCACTCCCCTTTTGCTGTACAAGTTCTCAGCTTTATTACCTCCAATTAATACAAAGAGTGCAGTTAAAAGTAGGTAGAGTGTGTATCTGGTTTTCATATTTATCACTCAATCCCAACTGTAGTTTTTTGGGGAAGGATGGGGAGGGTAGTTTTGGGCAGAGTGTAACAGGAGACTAATGCAAGTTTCACATACCTGCAAGCAGGACTGCTTTTGCACCTCCTTCCAACATTTGCAGTTTGCTGTTCACAGTAAGATGAAGGCTTTCATAACCTGAAATAGCCTTGTGCCCATGTTCAAATGGATCCCAAACTTTAATCCTAGGAGGAGTCAACAAAAACATGCTCAGTCACTTCTATAAAAACAAGACACTTAAAGGTAAGTAGCACCTTACTATTAATGATAATAAGGTATTGCCAATACTTCTAGGTCCTGGTAAAGTCAGTGACTTACCAGAGTTAGCTATCATCACAGTTCAGCTATGGATACAAATTAATCCTCCTCCTAATGGCTTGTGGGGCATCTCTTAAAATTTGAAAAACTAAAATGTTGATTTAGTTGCATTTCAAACAATTTAGGATTTTTATCTGTAGAAAAGTCTTTGTGATCAGTAAAAAGCTATAAATAGTAAATAATACTTTAAAAAATGTGTAAGAGTGACTATTGAAGACATGCTGGAGCAGAGACATGGAGCTAAATTCAATTCCACCTATTAGATGCTCAAGTACACTCCTATACCAATTTACTCAAGTCCCTGCAAAACTGTTGAATTTACTTTTGTAAGCCTCTTTATTTTAGGACTAAGTTGGATGAAGCACTGAGGAGGAAGACCTACTCAACTCTTAATCAGGGGTGATGTGTAGGGGGTGCACCCCCTGAGCGTGGCAGTGCACTTTGTACAAAAAGGTGTCACTGTTGACACTGGCGGCGGTGACGCCTACAGGTGGCCGCCACTCACCACCCTGCCGCCGACACCACCAGCGGCATCTGCGGGTGGTCCGCAATCCCCGCTGGATGCCACTGATGTTGCTGGCAATGGTGCTTGCCACCACTACCCCCCTTGCTACCAACAGTGCCAGTGGCATCTACAGGAGCTCTCCTGCTTGCTGCTGCCACACTCCTGCTACCACTGCCACCGTGCCCTCCCAGCCACTGGGGGTGTGCGTCGTTCATGCTTGTAATAATAGTTGTTCTCAAACTTGAGAGAAGTAATTCTATTGCACCCTATATGTCCAACTCCATTATGTTACTTAGTGGACACATCTACACATGCATTGATGTGCCTTTTCTAGTGTGCATTCAATTTAGTACCTCTGTGAGGTACTAAATTGATGCACATTAGGCTGTGCTAATGCGCAGGGGTGCATTTGCATGCTTTTTTTACTGATGCTTAATGCGCAGTAGACTCTTACTGCGCATTAGTGTAATATTACATTTTTTTACGTGATACTTCAATGTGCAGTAAAATAGTCAACTTCACATTAAAGAGCACATGTAGATGCACCCAGTATGTTTAATCTGTCCCTTAGTATTTAGTGCAATTTGTTTCCTCAATTCCACTTGTTAGAGACAGAAGTGGTAGCTCAATCTAGATGCTGTTAATTCTGTAAAACTTGATTCATTAATAATATTTAAGGATTGTTTTGAGGGTGTTCTGCTTAGCACCCTTACACATTAATGTGGTGAACGTAAGGATGCTTCAGGGCCATTCTTCATAATCCATAGTGACAGTGACTTCTGATTATCATGCTGCAGAGTACCAGTCATTCTGAACTCTGGTATAAAACTAACCACTCTATTCCAAGTACACAGGCCCTGACCACTTAAACTAAAAGCAAATCTCTGTGTTGTCATGTCTCTGTACCCACTATGATTCACCTAACAATGCTGCTTCTGTTCTTTAGATAGCAGAGTATTCACAGACAAGCCACTTTCTCATAAAATCAAGGCATTTTAAATATTTTTCTTAGTAAACCCTCTTCTGTCTCAATGTACGTGTTCAGACTTTTGCAAACTCTTAGATGATAACATGATAGTACAGAATGTGTGAAAAGTGACATTAAGTGTTACTGTATTTATCTAAATTCAAGATAACCCCCAGTACATGGATTCTATACATGGAAGATGTATACGTTTATTTTTCCATGTGTAATTATTGGAGAGTAATCTTAAATTTGTTCCACCCACCACTGCAGCATGGGAGTCAGTAGCGGAGCAAGCAGTGTGGGAGTCAAGTGTCTGCAGTGGGGGTAAGAATGGCAGGGGGTGGCAGCAGCTGCAAGTCCAACTCTGAGCCTGTGCCTGGGGTGGGGCTGGATTTGGAACTGCAGCAGTTGCCTTCACTCTCTTCTGTACTCAGATTCGACACAAAGGGCTAAACATGCACGCAACCCTTGTTTTGGATACGAGTAAATATGGTAATTTCTCTGTAGAGAAATCCTGGAGTGTCCTGACTACCACACCTTGGTGGCAGCAGTGCCATTTGAGGGGAAGCAGTAGGGGTGCACCAATAAAGGTATTTCTGGGTTGATACATACGGCCAATTGTTAACCAGCCATATTGGCTGATACTGATCTGATTGTCAATATTCAGCCTGGCAGCTTGGAAAGCAGCATCTGGCTGGTAAGTCTGTTGGGGGAAGGGGTGTGGGGGGGCAGGAAGGAATGTGGGAGGGGGCAGATTGAGGCTCCCTGTGGTGAGGGAGGGAGTGGGGCTGGGGCAGTGCTCAGGCCAGGTGGGACAGGGTGGGTGGCAATGGCACTGGAAGGAGGAGGAGGAGCTATGGGTGGGGAGCTATAGCCACTTCAAAATTTGCTGTAGGCCCCCTCTCCTACCGCTGTCTGCCCCCGCCCACTCCAAGCACAGCCTGGGCTCAGCTCCCCCACTGGGAAGATGCTGATGCAGCCTTCAGCCCTGAGCACATAGTGGCAGCCTGCCCTCACCCCGTGTACAGATTTGGGGCATGCATGCTCCCTGTGCCTCCCCAAGGGATGTGCACAGTGGCAGGAACTGCCCCCTGCACCCTCCAGACGAGACACAGCTCTGTCCTGCACCCCATCCTGTCCCAGCTGTGCAGCACCTGCCCCTGCCCCAGCTCCAGCCCGAGCCATAATCCCTGCTTCACCGCAGGGCCCTTAATCTGCGCCCCCCCATCCTTTCCCTCCCCATGCCCCTCTCCCTGCACAGACTTAGCTGCTAGATGCTGCTCTCCAAGCTGCTGGGCTGCACTGCTGGCTACATGCATGGTGCGGCTATGCAAGTGCATGTGACATTTATCAGTGACATAATCGGTCACATCAGCCAAAAATGGCCAATTGTCAATAATACCAGTGTTCCTTTTATCGGTGCCAATATAGTATGGACTGATGTATCGGTGCACCTCTGGACCCAAGTCTTAGTTTTTAGCAAAAAATCACTAATAACCAAATCTACCTTGCTTTTACTGTGATGTCCCCTGTGCTACCTGGAATAATTTGAAGTGGCACAGTAGTGAGTATGCAGGTAGATTTCAAAGATACAGTGAGGGTGGGGTCCCCAGAATCCAATCCCAACTAGTAGGGGCACTGTAGGGTCCCTGGAGTCCAATCCTTTTTGGGCAGGGGAGGCACAGGATCCCACACTGCATCCACCTGGCCAGAATCAGGTTTTATAACCCTCCGCTGCCTCTGCCTGGCCCCATGGGGCTGGGTCCCATGGGGGCTAGGGTGACCACCCATCCTTAATTGGGCAGAATAGTACTGAAATGGGAACATCAAGTTCTAGTCCCAGGCTATGACTCCAGAATAGCATTTGTCCCAAATGCAGAATAGCATTTGTCCCAAATTTGTCCCCTGCAGCATTGTGCAGGGATCCGGGTTTCCCCTTGCAGGTGGGCAACAATCCAGCCTGCAAGAGGCTGCTGGGAGTGGGACATGGGGCGCTGCATGCATGTGCGCACCCACACACATGCACATGACTGGGAAAGAGCTGGGTCGCCTGGAGAGGACTTCCCTGCAGGTAAGTTTATTGGGGGGTGGGGTCAGAGGAGGCAGATCAAGGTCCCCACAGTGAGGGAGGCATTGGGGAAGGGGCTGGGGATGTTGCCATGCCAGGGCAGTGCATGGGGTGGCCAGGGCAGGGAGTCGGACTGCTACAGGTGGCTCATGAGGGGGCACAGGGCATGTGGAGGGGGGGGTGGCTCCCCACTGCTGCATGCCATGCGCCCCCTGTGGGGCAGAATGGCGGGCATGTGCCTCCCCCCCAGAATTGTGTGCAGGGTAGATGTGGGTTGCCTGCTGCAGTCTTGGGGCTTCCTGACCCCAGTGGTGTGGAGTTTTGCTGCCTGCTGCTGCCAGGTGGTGCATGGCTGGCACAGGGCTTCCAGGGGAAGGACAGTCGTGCTGTCAGCAAGGGGGACGGGAGGCGGGCATATGTCCTGTCTTCCAATTTGGAAAAGGTGGTCACCCTAATGGGGGACCACCTTTACCCAGCCAGGACTAGGCTCTGCTTGGGTAAAGGCAGCATGGAGCCCATCCCAGCTTGTGGGGGTGGCATGGGGCCTGATTGGAGCCTGCAAACTGGCCCTGCATCATTTATCTGGCCCACAGGGCCCAGACTGAGCACCACTTTCCCATTGATATCCCCTCCATATAGCCAGTTCTTAAGATTAGTGGAAAAGCTATTATAAGCAGAAATCCAGGTTTTTCATTTCCCACAGAAAAATGGAGAAAATGACAGATTTCCCATTTTTATCTGAAAAAACACAGGTTTTCCCTTTTAACAGAGAAACCTGTGGCTTTCCCCTTTTTGCAAAGAGCTCTGCAGGCTGACTGAGTTCAAGCCTGCAAGAGCTGGTTGCAAAAGGGGCAGGAAACCCCCACCCTTGCCTGGAGGGGGAGGTTCACACATGGAAGTTGCTGCTGCGCCCTGCACTGCCTTCCCATGGTCAGCCGTGCAGCTTCGCGGGCATGGCAGCAGCAGGCGTGTGCCACCTGGCTGGCCAGTGGCCGGGGTGGGGCGGGGGGGCTTGCATGTGCCAGCTGCCACCTCTGGCCACAGTTCCACAGGCAAATAGGGTGGCAGTGGCAGGCGCATGCTGCGCAGTTGGCGGGTGAGGGGGGGCTTGCACATGGCAGCCACTGCCATACTACTTGCCTGTGCATCCATGCCTGTGGACGGGGGGGTTCACACACAATGGCTGCTGTCAGGCCCCATGCTGCCTTCCTGCAGCTGACTGCATGGCTCCATGGGCATGGCTCCATAGGCAAGTGATGCAGGGTGCGCCAGCCATGGTGGTGGTGCAGTAGCAGCCACTGTGTGAGCTTGCACATGGCAGCCACTGCCATACTACTTGCCTGTGCATCCATGCCTGTGGACGGGGGGGTTCACACACAATGGCTGCTGTCAGGCCCCATGCTGCCTTCCTGCAGCTGACTGCATGGCTCCATGGGCATGGCTCCATAGGCAAGTGATGCAGGGTGCGCCAGCCATGGTGGTGGTGCAGTAGCAGCCACTGTGTGAGAGCCCCTCCCCCCCAGCTGGCCAGCCAGGTAGTATGCAGCTGCCACCACCCCGTGCTGCTGCTGCCATGCCGCTTGCCTGCAGAACCATGGCCATGGAGCTTGCCCGTGGATCCGTGCAGCTGGCTGTGGGTTTGTAGCCATGTGCTAGTGTTTCCAAACACAATTTTTGAGAAGTTTTGAAATATGTAGTTTCTTGTGAACTGGATATTTGATATTCAAGCAATTAAATGTGGTATAACTGTGATTCCTCTGGGAGCCAGATGTGACCCTCATGAATTTCATCTATGCCCTTGTCACTTTCAGCGGGGCTGTAGAAAACCACTCAAAGTTGAAGCTGTATAAAATGTAGCTGTCTAATTGGTGATTTTGTGTTAAATAGAAACTCCTCTAATATCTACATAACTTCCAGGTGCAATTCATTGGACATGGCTGGTAAATCTTTCATACTTTAGGTCCTTTATCTCTTAGAGACTGCCTTTCTCTTTGTGCTGAGCCTGTAATAGTTAAGAGCAACAGGGATACCTGACCCAACAATAATACCTTTATTCAACAGGGAGCGGGGCAGAGATGCATCTAAGCACTTGTGTGCCCTGGGCAGCAGTGGCTATTTTTGTCCCCCTGTTAAGTTAGTGCCTGAGGCTGGTGCCCTGTTCTCCCCAGTAGTTATGCTACTAGGGATGGATACTTCCAGTAGAGGGGCCAGAATTTGGCCTATGTACACTGTGTGGCCTATATAGTGAGCTGTATCTAGAAAAGAATGAGGAGGTTGGGAAAGAAGCATGAGTTCTGTAGACTAAGGAGTTCTTTTAATGCCATTCTTTACATTTTCATAATTATTGGTTACCTTTCTATATATTTTTTAAAAGTATAGGCAACCTGTATAGATCAAAAATATTTTTGAAAGGAAAATCTACATACACTAGAAGGGACGGGGGGGATAACGGCCATAAATTCATAGATTCATAGATGCTAGGGTCGGAAGGGACCTCAATAGATCATCGAGTCCGACCCCCTGCATAGGCAGGAAAGAG